GAAATTTCCGTAACATACTATCATCGTCCGCGGTATACCGAACAGTAAGTTTGGACACCACACCAGCATCTGAATATATTAACTTCCTGACGACTGAACACTGTCCAAACACAATGCAATAAGCGTCTACCGAATCTCTACAGGAACAATGCAACAGAGCTACAATCATTGTTAAACAATATAAGACTGCCATACAACAAAAGGGGCACGCCGTTTACATGAGATTCCCACCACCTAAATATCCCAGTTACAATGACCGCCTCCGTGGTCTAGTGGTAGAGCGTCCGCCCGGAGAGCGGAAGGTCCGGGGTTCGATCCCCGGCCACGTCATACCAAAAGACGTTAAGAAATGGTACTTGTTGTTACCCTGTGTGGCGCTCGGCATTAAGGGGCTAAAACAAGGATTGGTCGTCTCGGACTCAGTATACTGTGTCTGAGTGGGGTATTCATGTTAAACTGCCGCATGGTGTCTCAGTGCACTATAAATCGGCATCAGTCCGGACTTGCACAAGCAGCCACACACACACACGTGCATGCGCGTCGCTATATAAGCGCAATAATCTTGGACGCGACGTTAACGTAGTTACAATAGGTCGAGAGCCACCCACGCTTGTCGTAACGGGGTCGGGTGGTCAGGCTCACTGACTAGGTTGATGCATGTCATCGTATCCCAATTGCGTAAGTCGATGTCAATCGGTAAATTTGAATGGAATATTGCTGAGTGCGGCGTTTGATAACAAAAAAACAAAACACGAGATATCATCGCAGGCTCTCGCAACGTGAAAGATAAAATCTTGTCTTGTGAGAAAGAACGGAATTTTTTCTTGGTTTGATGTATGTATAAAAGCAGGAAACTTGGCTAAACGTTCATTTAAAGGTTCCTCTCTCATACCGTTGTGCACTGGACATGACGTTAAACATTAATGCCATCTAAACGGTTGAAATAGGTTTTTTACTGAGCAGGGGTATGCTCATAGCTAAAACAAACAAGCGAAAAAGGCTTCCATTTATTAACTTAACTGTTTATGTTTCTAGGTGTGTCACCGCCATACCCATGCTTGTGGGTTTTACAAGTGGTAAACGCCTGAGACCTGCATCACTTCGAGCTTTCCTTCCACATCAAGTTGACACTCCGTTATGTAACTGGACTAAAAGCGGCGTTAAACCCAACTCACTTACTCGACTTAATTGTTTACATTCGTATTGCTTTATATATGTTGTGCTTGTATCTTTGAAAATGATATTCGAACCTTGACACGCGGGGCACACACACACGCACGCACGCACGCACGCACGCACACACACACACACACACACGAGATAAAAGTTTAAGACCCCGGTGATATATTTCAATGTTATATTGGGATAACACTTTCTTAGTAAAGTACAGATTCTATTACTTTGGGGATTGAGTCCAAATACAACATTTGTTAAATTTAACCACTTTCTAAATGGCATTGTGTGTTCATAGCTTTCGGACATGGGAGCCGTGCCAATTTACACTTGTCAGAGGGGTACACAAAGTACGTGATCTACACTACCAGTTGTCGGACTTTCATTTTTGTGGAAGCCTCGGTGGCTGAGTCCGGTGATATATTTGACACAAAAAGACACGAGGGTTCTATTTATCATCCCAAATCAATCTTTCAACTTTTTCAGTTTGTAAACTGTAAAACGTATAGCTACCCAGTTTCAGTGGCAGAAATATATGTGATGTCATACGATTGTGACGTCCTGGCAACCGATGAAGTCACACGGGCCTTCAAAATGGGATGATGGGGAAGATGTGCGGCCGCGTAGGATGCATGCATGGGTCATAAATAGAGAATACTATACTCAGATACCATTTTTATGAAACGAGTGGATTGAGTTTCTATACTATCTGGCCTAGCGAGTGAGTGAGTGAGTTGGGTTTAACGCCGCTTTTAACATTATTCCAGTTATATCACGACGTGACAGCTTAATGTGGGAGGAAAACCCGAAGTGATGCAGGTCTAAGAAGTTTACCACTTGTGTGAAACCCACAAGCACGGGTATGGAGCTGACAAACCTAGAAACATAATCGGGGCGAACCGGGATTCGAACCCTCAATCAAAGGTTTCTGGCGTGCCAAGGGACGCAACACTGCACAGCGAATCGCGGCGACTTAGACGACTGGGCCACCCGTGCCCCTGCACCGAGCGAAAGCGAGGTCAGATACCATAGAACGATTACGGGTTTCGTAAAAATGGTATCTAACGAGAAATGAGTGTGGTAAAATATGTCTACGAAACTCGTGTAAAATTTCATGTATATCAATTCTGAAACTCGTTTCGTAAAACCAGTAAGACACACATGCTCGTATGATAATCTATATATCTTTAATTGTGAGGAATTTATCAATTTTTAAAATGAATATAAAATATTTGGAAGCTCACAAGTTATGACGAAAACCGAATATAAATTCAACAAACGAAAAATCGCAATCTTTATTTTATTTCCTCTGTCGATGTGTATACGAAGCGGACGTAAAATATTCACATTATGTCCGCACAACAGATACGACTGACAGACGCACAGAAAACCAGGTGGGTCAGAACAAATTTATTGAATCCGTGGTCTAGATAAATACGATATACATGTATGGTTCTCATGAAGGTGTGTTGGGTAGGATGAATTCAATACACCAATGAAAGAAACGCTGTTTGACGAGATTTATGTCGTCATTACCAAGAGTTATGTCCCTTCCTACATGTGTCGCATGTCGTTGCACTCGTAATGGAAATTGCTACCAGTCAAATCAGGAAGAAATACAGACCGTTCTTAAAATTAAATTAATTAACAAAATAAAATAATGCAAAAACAGAACCTAGCCTAGAATGCGTCACCAAATTAATCTGTAGACTTCTCCCTCTTGACATGTGTGACAGTCGTCCCTTAATTTCACAAATGAAGAATAAAATAAAACTTGTGGAAAAGAGTATTTTCTTACATTTTCTTTGCTAATTCTCAAAAATGACAATGACTTAATCTATAGCCTACTTTCCGTTAATTTTAGTTTTATTATGTCCAATCTAACCCACATATATTTGTACGGAAGCCTTTTGGGGACATTATTTTTCTCTCTCTTTTTCTTTAAATTTCAAGATGTTATGTTGAAATTTGACGTTATGTTGTAAGCATCTTGAAATTTCAAGAAAGAACAACAAAAAAAAAACGGCACTAAAAGGCTTCCGTACATTTGGATGAGATCACTTGTATGGATCATGTGTTCTTTTTCAATTCATTTTTTATCGACCAATAAGCTTTTTGAATAACAAAGTTTCTGCAAATTCATTTGAAAACAAAGGTCTTGAAAAATATTGTATTCGTAGAGATTTTGAAAGATGAATAATCCCAATTTGCCTTTTACATTACGTAATTTACATTAAGGGCAGTACTTAAAGCACGGATATAGGTTTTCGGAAAGTGGGGGAAGGGTGATTTTGCTCTCCACAGCAATTTGAATTTGATCTTTTGATATTCGGGTTAATTTGTTGCAACCAGCACCAAGTGGGTCAGATACAAAGTTGTATTTTGTTAACAATTAGTATACATTATCACCTGTGCAACTTCCAATACATGTTTAGGTTGCAAAAAAGCGTGTGTGTGTCGGATTTAAAGCCTGGGACACTGAGATACCATGCTGCAGTGTTTGATGAATTCTAGAACCCCGCTCAGATACTGTCTCCTAGACGACCCCACCTTGTTTTAATCTTCTTAATATTGAGCGGAAGGCAGGGTAACAACAAGTACCATCTTATGACGTATTTTTGTATGCCGCGGCTGGGGATCTCGCGCGCGCGCGTGCGTGCGTGCGCTTGTAAAAGTCCGCACCAATGCGGAAATGCGTTATATAGTGCTATCCCACTGAAATATGTCGCGTTTTAACATGGATACCCCAGTTTTCTGACTCCGACCCTCCTGAGGATCCGCGTGTGAAGGTGACACCCGTCGCACAATCCGTGTGTCACGTTTCGAGTATCGAATACAGTGTTTGGGGCGTGCTTACATAAAGTATTAGTTTACATTTCGTGATAAGTGTTTTGTTTACGTCAATGGCGGATCCAGGTCAGGGGATGTTCGACATCTCCCTCATTTGAAATTTTAAATAATGGACCCCAATGCCATGGACCCCAAAGTAATGCCTTCAGAATATTTGAACACGTGTCGTGGAATCGAAATCAACACCCGCTTTCATTCGGTTAGAGTCCTCCAGTTGATTAGGTACGAACGGGTGGGTACGAGTTCTGCAACATTTGGGTACGAGTCCGTCAAAAATAAAAAAGTTTGGGTACGGATCACTGTATGTACATATTGTCCAGTTCCCTTGATAATAAGTGTGACTGTAAATTATAATACTTGTCGAATACTTCCAAAAACACCTGAATTATTTTCCCCCAAGTGCTATTTTTAATCATTTTAAGGACATGCCTATTCATTACAACTGATCAATTGTCTACACAGATATGCATATTTTATCCGAAAATATTCAGTCGTGCGTTAATCACTAGATTTTTAACATGGTGTTTTAATAAGAAAACTGGTTTGTTTTTATCTAAACAACTTTTAATATGTTTTTTAGAGATATACATATACTTAAACAAACAGGATAGACTCATCTATACAAAGCTGATAATTGATGTAAAATTATGCTTATTTTAATATTATATTAACAGGGATCCTATATATACATATATGCCACCCCCTACAGCCATATATATATATATATATTGTTGGTGATTGAAGAACCATTTAACTTGTTTGTGCCCCTAAATTGCACTAATTTCTAACCATTGAAACCAGTTTCCCTTTGTAATAACCATCTGCCGGGTTGTCAACAAACGCCGATACGAACCTTTTAACTTTAGGACTATTGCTCTCAAAGTTAAGGTGTGTCGACTTGATATAGCAGTTTATCACGGGCGATGTTTATGAACTATATTTAACCCGGAAGATCACGTACGTGACGTCATCATCGAAAGTAGTGCGCATGCGTGCTCAATGGTTGAAGGCTATCGGATCGTTCTTGATTGTAGATAGACCCTTGAAAAATCGTCTCACTGATGTGGATATTTAACTAAACCAGCGAGGAATTTACCAAGGGGTTCCTAAGGAACTTGTCTATCACCTTGTCTTTCAAACCAAGTCCCTAGCAGCTAGAGGCCGCTACAATGAGGAGTTTTCTCGTCGTGTTTATATGCAGTACCGTCCAGTTGTTTGGACCTTCAGGTAAGTGACTTCACTGAGGAGAGATTCAAAGGTGGCGACAAAATTAAGGATGGAAGTGGGATTATATTTGGGACAGAATACTATATCTACCTAGCGACGTACGTAATTGATTTGAAAGGATCACTGTTTTAAATTGATGTGGTTGTTTGTTCGCAGTCTTAATCATCATGTTTACATGTTTTGAGGTTTTCGATGATGAAGTTACGACATGTTGACACTAACGTCAGTGTTGTGATGTGCAGGGACTAGAGCTGGGACGAGTCTAAATCTACTACCCGTGTACCCACACCCCCTATTACCCGACCCTACCCGGATGCCCGCTGTAGGTCGCAAGAGATAGGTACAAAATGTCCGTTTGGGAATAGTTTGTCCGTACTCCTGTCAAAATGTATTTAGATACATTATAAACCGATCTGGTCATGCATACACTGAAGTTTTATCTTTATGCAAACATATAAAAGTCAGAAGGAATGGGTGCATCGTCAGAAAGGAATGCGAACATTAGTGATTTAGTGTGTAACCATATAGTTTTGTCATTATACATTATATATCACGTGACGACCCACGAGTCAGGTAGTCCTGCGTCTACCCAGGTCTTCTCAGTACCCATTCGACCCAGTTACCCGTCTCAGTCCTAGCACTAACATAAACAAGATACGTCACAATTAGCAACATGAAGATGACATTTTGTCCTATGAAAGTCATCTGGATCAACGAAGTACAGGTTATTAGTAATACGTGTATTTATACTCCACTTTTAAAAACTGTATGCATGGTATGTATACAAAGAACCGAAATAGACAGATATATAAATATACAAACAAAGCTATTGCAATTTGATTATAGTAGTAATAAGTATTTTCTGAAAGTATGTTCCTGAAAGTGTCCAGGGAAGTAGAGAGTCTCAGAGAGTGGCAAATTGTTCCACAGAACCTCATCTCCATACAGTGAACTTTGACCCATATACACACTCAAACAGGTGTCTGTGTGGGGCGGTCGGGTAGCCTAGTGGTTAAAGCGTTTGCTTGTCATGCCAAAGACCCAGGTTCGATTCCCGACATGGGTACATTGTGTGAAGCTCATTTCTGGTGTCCCCCGCCGTGATATTGCTGGAATATTGCTAAAAGCGGCGTAAAACCAAACTCACTTACTACTAAAACATAGCAGGTGATTAGTCTACTCATTTTGTTGAAGTCTGTAAAAATACCATGGCCTTGTATCCCGCACAGACTGTTTCAGATGTCAACCATACACAAAACACAGCTTTCTTTATTCATTATTTAATGCTTATTCGGTGTAGGAACATGATGAATGACATCAGATTAGATCCTTGTAATAATCCAGATGTTAAAAGTTTAAAATTTGGAGGGCCACTAGATTCAAACGGTGTAGCAGCAAACCTCATAAACCCAAGAACCCGCCTTAATTTTTTAAAAATCATCGTAACCATGGTAACTCAGGGTTATTACACTCAAATATAGAGAACAGATGCAAAAAATAATATATCCTACGTCCGTTTGGGACGAACAATTATATTCATTGTACCTACAGCGCATCAAGAGCAGTTATGGGTGTCTGTTATTTCATCCATCAATCATGACCACTGTCCACATGATCATTGATTCATCCCAGGCATTAAAGTAATTATTAAAACATATAGCACACTACACCATTTCATTACTTTACAGGACCCTCATATTGTCTGCAAGGACTCTTAAAATTAATTATTGCGTTCCCCCGGACCCCATTTTGTAAATCAAGGTAAAACACTGGTAACTGATATAACATTCTGTTTTTGACCAGTGCACAAAAATAAGCATGAATGGCAGATGTTATATTGTCACAAGCTCAAGTTTTTGAGAGCTTGTGGGCCTCTACCACATCTAACGATGTAATTTACCATGATTACTGTGGTCTAATGGTCTGGTATCAGTTAACTGCGTTCTCTGTTTCTCACCTTGCTGTCACACTTGAATAATCACAGGTGGATTTGTCACCTTTCCAGTCCAAAAATAGTGAAATGTGATGCTTCACTAGTCACTAAGACAGTTGGGGGTCGGTGTGACCCAATTGCTCTATATCCAGCCACAGGTGTTCAGAAAGAGACTTGCATAATGAAATCTATGACTATCCCCTAACTATGAAATTCTGCTGTACCTTGGGCTTTGCCATACAACTCCAAATAAGAATTTGACAAAATGAGCTGACTGATAATTGATAATGTCATGTAATATTTCAGACAAAAATATTGCAAGGATTTTGTGAGAGAGATTTTGTGAATGGTATTGGGATATTGTCTTGATTTTATCAAGTTTTGATAGGACACTCTACTATATTACCCGAATACAGTATTCGATGTAATAATTTGAAAGATAAATTTTGTGGTTTATAGTGACAGCCTGAAATGTTTATGTACAACAGATATATTTTTCCAGAATTTAATTGGCCATAATTAAGGGTGCATTTAACACACGAGTGTGTATTATACGCAAATAAATAAGTCTTGTGTACATTGATCAATCGGAAGGGGTGGTAATTGGGATCGTTCACTAACCAATGTATCAGCAAATATCGCTGTGGGCGCTTATTAGAGCGGACCACTTTTACCATTAGCAGTGTAAGTAATGAAGCATAGAAGCGAAAGGGTCATTGTCATGGGGTGGTCGGGTAGCCTTATGGTTAAAGCGTTCGCTCGTCACACCGAAGACCCGGGTACAATGTGTGAAGCCCATTTCTGGTGTCCTCCGCCGTGATATTGCTGGCATATCTTTAAAAGCGGCGTAAAGCCATACTCACTCATTGTTATGGCCATGGCACTTGTCACACAAGATAAAACATATACCACACATTATACACTGTGGCATATACATCACACATTATACAACATGGCATGCATCACACAATATACAACATGGCATATATCAAACAATATACAACATGGCATACATCACACAATATACAACATGGCATACATCACACAATATACAACATGGCATACATCACACAATATACAACATGGCATATATCAAACAATATACAACATGGCATATATCAAACAATATACAACAAGGCATATATCAAACAATATACAACATGGCATACATCACACAATATACAACATGGCATACGTCACACAATATACAACATGGCATACATCACACAATATACAACATGGCATACATCACACAATATACAACATGGCATATATCAAACAATTTACAACATGGTATACATCACACAATATACAACATAGCATTTATCAGACAATATACAACATGGTATACATCACACAATATACAACATGGCATACATCACACAATATACAACATGGCATACATCACACAATATACAACATGGCATATATCAAACAATTTACAACATGGTATACATCACACAATATACAACATAGCATTTATCAGACAATATACAACATGGTATACATCACACAATATACAACATGGTATACATCACACAATATACAACATAGCATTTATCAGACAATATACAACATGGTATACATCACACAATATACAACATGGCATACATCACACAATATACAACATAGCATTTATCAGACAATATACAACATGGTATACATCACACAATATACAACATGGCATACATCACACAATATACAACATGGTATACATCACACAATATACAACATGGTATACATCACACAATATACAACATGGTATACATCACACAATATACAACATGGCATTTATCAGACAATATACAACATGGCATACATCACACAATATACAACATGGCATACATCAGACAATATACAACATGGCATACATCACACAATATACAACATGGCATTTATCAGACAATATACAACATGGTATACATCACACAATATACAACATGGCATACATCACACAATATACAACATGGCATACATCAGACAATATACAACATGGCATACATCACACAATATACAACATGGCATACATCACACAATATACAACATGGCATACATCACACAATATACAACATAGCAAATATCAGACAATATACAACATGGTATACATCACACAATATACAACATAGCATATATCAGACAATATACAACATGGCATACATCACACAATATACAACATGGCATACATCACACAATATACAACATGGCATACATCACACAATATACAACATGGCATACATCAGACAATATACAACATGGTATACATCACACAATATACAACATGGTATACATCACACAATATACAACATGGCATACATCACACAATATACAACATGGCATACATCACACAATATACAACATGGCATACATCACACAATATACAACATGGCATACATCAGACAATATACAACATGGCATACATCACACAATATACAACATGGCATGCATCACACAATATACAACATGGCATACATCACACAATATACAACATGGTATACATCACACAATATACAACATGGCATACATCACACAATATACAACATGGCATACAACCCACACAATATACAACATGGCATACACAACACAGCATATACCACACATTTTACAACATGGCATATACTTTACAATATACATGGCATATACCACACATTATACAACATGGCATATACCACACAATATACAACATGGCATACAACCCACACTTTACAACATGGCATACACAACACAGCATATACAACACAGCATACAACACAGCATATACCACAAATTATACAACATGGCATATACCACACATTATACAACACAGCATATATCACACATTATACAACATGGCATATACCACACATTATACAACAGCCAGAATGATGACTTGTTCCTACTCATGACCAATTGTGATATGGTGGCGTTGGGTGCATGGACTGTATCCTAAATTGATATTAATGAACATACAGTGTGTCCAACAACACAAGCTACAGGTAATCAGAGTGGCAACGTTCTGCATGTCATGGACTAGGACATGGTGACTCACGGTTCGCACCTCACCTAGGGATTGTGTTATCAGCACAGTGAA